TGATTCTCTCTGAAGAATACTATCGCACTCCCATGTGTCTGTAGTGTTAAGGACTCTCATTTCTGCTGAAATCATGACATGAACTGAATCAGTTTGTCACATGTGTTCAGGAGTATTAGGCAACTTGAAGTCAACGTTACAAGCACCTGTTGCTTTCAGATGACCATGCTGATCTGCCTATTTAGCTATTTATTTGTTTCACTATTTATAAGATTTAAGTTTTTTTTTATTGTATTATATTAGTTGTACCTAGCCTTTGTGGTTAAGAAATTTGTATATGTTTTACGTATTTTAAATCATTTATTTTCTGTTCGTTAAATGTTTCTAGAGAAATCTTCTTGTGTTTGTTTCTTATTGGAGCAGGAATCAAGTCTGATTACAACCTGATGAAAGAACGGATTGTACAACTCACTCACTCATTATTTCGTTTTCACATTAGAAGGAATCGCATCGACTCCCTGGAAATCACTTTGCATGGTGTCGTCACGGGAAAGGCAGACTTCACAAGTCCAATGCTGTGTCTGTATCTTGGATTTTGTAGAGAAACTAACCTCAGAACAATAATCGTAGTGAAGTATTATCAGTTATGGGAAAGGGAAGAGTGAGAAGAAGGGATAATATGAATTTTGTAAGTAGAAAAGGAAGCAGACATGCCAGGAAGTAGAATGAAAAACACAAGATATGTTCTACATCATCTTGCTAGACACACAAGTGCGAATATTCTTTAGAAAATGGATAGTTCAGGGGCACCCAAGTGGCTCAGTCGGTTAAGTGTGTGCCTTTGCCTCAGGTCATGATACCGGGTCCTGGAATCAAGCCCTGTGTCAAGCTCCCTGTTCAGCTGGGAATCTGCTTCTCCCTCTCACACTCCCCCTGCTTGTGCTCGCTGTCTCTCTCTCTCTGTGTCATATAAATCAATAAAATCCTTAAAAAAAAAAAAAAACCAACAAAATGGATCCCAGGTGCTGCCATTTACAAGCCATTCCATTCACGTAAAGCCCAGGAGGTACGTGGTTGCCTGGGAGGAGAGCGTAGAATGAGAAATGGTGCCTCAAGCCTCCCCTGCTTAAGGGAGAAAAGAGCCACACTGCAAACAAAGGTGGAATGCCCTAAGGCAGTAGTGTAAGAGCGAATATTGATTAAAAGTCTATTTCAAAGCCGAGAAATGCTTCAAGGAATTGCATCATAGCAAAGGGTGCACGGAAAGGGTCCATGAAGCCGGGAAGTAGAAGGGTTGTGACCATGGGGACCAGCTGTTTGACTGAATTACTCACCAGAAACCATACTGGCGGCAGAGGAAAGGCGAGGAGCAGAACAGAAGCTAGTGACTATGGATAGAATATACATCTGGGAGGTTTACTTTCTTTGTACTAATTAAACTTCCATGAAAAAAATGAACTAATAATTGAATTGGGTAATGCCTTCTAATGTCTTCTACGCCATGTAAAGCGTATATAAAGAAAAGCAAACGAAAATGAAAAGGCTTGGGGCACCTGGGTGGCTCAGCGGGATAAAGCCTCTGCTGTCAGCTCAGGTCGTGATCCCAGGGTCCTGGGATCGAGCCCCGTATCGGGCTCTCTGCTCAGTGGGGAGCCTGCTTCCTCCTCTCTCTCTCTCTCTCTGCCTGCCTCTCCACCTACTTGTGATCTCTCTCTCTGTGTCAAATAAATAAAATCTTAAAAAAAAATTTAAGACTTAATGTTTAAAAAAGAAAAAAAAAATGAAAAGGGTACCGGAACATTCTGCAAATGAGAACTACCCTGTTCTACTGAAGACTCATGAATAGAAAGAACTGAAGATGAATGAGGGACCAGGGCACCCCAACTGGTCCACCAGGCCACCAGAAGTCCTCAGGTGCAGCGCCCATCCCATCTGCGGG